CGATCATTTCTATCACTTATTATACTATCCCACCAATGATTCTATCAATTACCATGAACTATGATATATCATACTTGTTATCATCCTTAAGTATAGTTCTTACGTTCTACTGTTGTGTACTTTGATATTGCAAAGAATCAGCCCAGGGCCAAGATGCCTTAGTTTATAGTATGTATTAGTAGCTGTATGTCAGATGCCATACGTTAACGTGGCCGAGCTGTCAGTAGTGTCACTGATTACTTGTGTAATATACTTAGAAAATCCCAGCTATGTTATAGATAGACTTCCTGGCTAGTTGTGACTTCACGAGCCACTCACATGTCAGTGGCTAGCCAAAGGCATCCCTCTCAGTTCCCAGCAAGGCAAGCCCTGGGTCTTTCCTCAAGACTCTCAATATACGCCTCCTAGAACATCCTACGAGTGTATCCTTCCACCTATATCCCCTTCGAACCAACCATGACACAGAGGTGTCCCTGTTTGCAGATGACGTGAAGTTGATGAGAAGAATTCAATCGGACGAGGACCAGGCAGAACCACAAAGGGATCTGGACAGGCTGCAGGACTGGTCCAGAAACTGGCTCCTGGAGTTCAACCCCACCAAGTGCAAAATAATGAAAATTGGGGAAGGGCAAAGAAAACAGCAGATGGAGTACAGTCTAGGGGGCCAGAGACTACAAACCTCACTCAGGGAAAAGGATCTTGGGGTAAGCATAACACCGGGCACATCTCCTGAGGCGCACATCAACCAAATAACTGCTGCAGCATATGTGCGCCTAGCAAACCTAAGAACAGCATTCCGACATCTTAATAAGGAATCATTCAGGACACTGTGCACCGTGTACGATAGGAAGTACTTTTTTCAGTCACAGAGTTGTCAGGAAGTGGAATAGTCTGGGAAGTGATGTAGTGGAGGCAGTATCCATACATAGCTTTAGGAAGAGGTCTGATAAAGCTCATAGAGCATGAAGAGTGACCGAGTAGCGACCAATGAAGAGGCAGGGCCAGGAGCTATGACTTGACCCCTGCAACCACAAATAGGTAAGTACAATTAGGTGAGTACACACACTCACTCACTCTGAAAAGTATAAAACAGCAGAGGTCAAAACAGAGCAGAAGTTAGTCCACAGCCGCTTAAGAAAAAAAAAAGACTGAAGGAGCAGGTGATAATGCTGAAGAAGGAGGAAGGACCTCTGACCGAGAATGAGAGAGAAGTATGGGAGGAGCTTTGCAATAAAATATTCAAAGAGGTCTTTACTGAAGAAAGTGGTGAGTTACCAGAAAACACTTCAATCAGACCAGATCAACAGATGCTAGGAGAAATAAACACAACAAATGAAGAAGAAGCGATGTGGCTACAAAGTGAGTTTGATGTACAAAAGCAATGGGACCAGATAACACACACAAATAACCGCACATAGGAGAGAGGAGCTTACGACGACCTTTCGGTCCGACTTGGACCATTTACAAAGTCACACTAACAAAAAGGAGAGAAGGAGGCAGTATACATAGGCCAGCAGACAGGGACGGGACAAGAAAAGTAGTAGGAAAGGAAGAAGAGAAGTAGTGACAGAGGTAGTAGCACTTCAAGGGAACTAGGGGCCTACAGAGGGAAGGAATAAAATCACAGAAGGGGGAAAAATAATAGTAATGGACCAAAAACCCTAGGCAAAAGAAAGAAAACCCAAAGGAGAAAGAGGAAAGAGGAAAGATGAAAGGGCAACAGGGAGAAGGGGGAAAAGGCATCAGGTTAAGTCACTGGTGTTCTGAAGTTTGGAGAATTTTACAATGTAATGGGAAAGGAAGGTATCTACAGAGACAAAGCCAGGACTAATATTCATACAAGGAAAGTTGTGTATAAGGGAGGATTCAACCAGACGGCGAGTGTGAAAGTAGGGTAGACAGTTTTAGCAGAAGACCAGTCAATAGGATGAATGTGATCTCTGAAATGACAGAAAAAAACATTGTTGGTGTAGGCAAGCCTAACACTACTTTTGTGCTCCCTAAGTCTATCAGAAAGAGAACGACCAGTTTCTCCAAAGTACTGTAGAGGACAAGTGGAACAAGAAATAGAGTAGACACCAGGAAAATCTACAGTTTAATAGCTCTGATATGTATGCTTTCCAAAGTTCAGAAAATAGTAAGGAAAAGGATATTGGAGAACTTGGAAAGATTCTTTACAGAAAACCAACATAGATTTAGGGAAGGAAAATCCTGTTTTACATATCTGCCTAAGTTCCACGACGAAGTCAGAAAGAGTTAAAACAACAAAGACAGGACTGGGCAGACTGCATGTTCTTGGACTGCAGGAAAACATATGATACAGTATCGCTCCAGAGGTCAGTCCAGAAATTCGAGGAAAATGCAAGGTTAAAATGCTGAATGTGTCGGTAGGTCAAGGAGTACATGAATGACAAGACGGAGAGTAACAGTAAGGAATGAGATATTAGGATGGGATAAATTAAAGAGTGCGGCTTCTGCAAGGAACAGTCTTAAGACCACTACTGTTCCTAATATTCATAAATCCCCTTTCAGAGGGAATTGAGTCTTATGTGTCATTGTTTACAGATGATGTAACACTAACAGAAATAAAAATACCAGGAGAGAACAGCGATTAACTTCAGAGAAACTCAACAGACTACAGATATATTCTGATAAGAGGACTCTCTAGCTCAGCCTGGATAAATGCAAGGTCATACGAATTGGAGAAGGTGAGGGAAGACTGGACACGGAGTACAGCATGGACAGGGAGATGCTGCAGATATCAGAGAGCGAAAATGACCTGGAGTGTATATAACACCTAAGTATAGAGCCGGAAATACATATAAACCTTTTAATGCCAGAGGTATACACAAGTTTAACAAACCTCAGAATGACATTCAAAAATTTGAATCAAGAATTATTCACAACCTTATATACGACATATGTTAGGCCAGTCACTGAGCATCCGGCCCCAACATGGCGTCCACACCTGATAAAGTGTGTGAAGACGGTTGGGAAGGTTCAAAGGTTTGCTCCCAGGGTAGTACCAGAAATGAAAGGAATGCACTATGAGGAGAGGATGAAAAAGCTGAACCTGACAACCCTGGCGGAGAGAGGAACACTGGGAAACATGATTACGAATATGAAATTTTAAGGGGAATTGATAAGGCGGATAGGACAGAATGAATTAAGGGGACCAGGATCAAGGGGACACAGGTGGAACCTCAAGACACAGATGAACCATTTGGATGTAAAGAAGTATTTATTTAGTCTCATGTTTGTTAAAAAAATGGAATGGCTTGGATGAGGCAGTGGTGGAGGCAAACTCAGTGCACAGCTTCAAGAGTAGATATGATAAGGAACAAGAATGTAGAAATAAGCGATGCCGATGAAAGTAGTCTAAGAGGCGGGGCCAAGAGCTGAGTCTCGACCTCCCGGAAATAGAACTCGACAGCACAGGCATGTGCCCCCCCTACACACAATAAACTGGATACAATACAAGCAATGGGAGACGAGAAGAAGCTGCAGAGCGAGCTAGATACCTCAAAAGCCAGGGGACCGGACAACATCTTACCAAGGTTCCGCGATAGGAAGCAAAGAAACTATATTAAAACATTAGCAGTGATCTTCAAGAAGACAACTGAAACAGGGCGACTGCCAGAGGTCTGGAATATGACGAATGGTGTCCCAGTATTTATGAAAAGGAACAGAGAGGTGGCAATGAAATACAGGCCAGAGTCACAAACATGCATAGTCTGTAAGATTATGGAGAAGATTATCAGGAAATGGTAAATCTCGTCTCACAGATTTTCTAAAATTCTATAACAAGGTAAGAAAAGTTAGGCAGGAGAGTATTCCACAAGAGACTGATACAAAAATTAAGGGAGCAGACAAGAATAATAGGTGAAACACTACAGTGAATCAGGGAATACTTAACTGGAAGGAAACAACAAGTTATTTTACAGATGTGAGAATGGGCGAGTGTGACGAGTGGGTTCCACAAGTGTCAGTACTTGAACCAGTGCTGTTTCTTGTATATGTGAACAACATGACAGAGAAAATCCTGTCAAAAGTGTCTCTGCAGATGATGTGAAATCAGTGAGGTGAATACAAACAAAAGTAGACTAGGAAAATCTAAAAATGTATCTGGACAAGCTGCAGGATTGGTCTGACAAAAGACTTAGAATTTAACCATGCTAAATGCAAAGCTATGGAAATCGGAGAAAAGTATAGACGACCAAAAACATAATACAGGATCCGGGGACAAAGGCGGCAAACCTCCTTGAAATGTAGTTTTCAGAAACATCAGCAAGGAGGCATTCACGACATTATACATGACATATTTCAGTCCCATCTTTGAGCATCCATCTGAAAAAGCATGAAAAGAAGCTGGAAAAAATGTAAAAAAAATTCAACAAAATTAGTCCCGGAGTTGAGGGGTATGAGCTATGAGGAGAGAAGCTAAACTTGACGATACTAGAAGACAGAAAGACTATAGGTGACATGATTACGACGTATAAAATACCGAGGAAATTGACGGGGTGGACAGAAAGAGTGCGTTTGAGAGGCGAGACTCAAGTACACGAGAACACAGCTGGAAGTTAAAAATGTAGATGAATCAGAGGGATGTTAGGAATGCCTTTTTAGCCTTAGAATGGTCAGAAAGTGGAATGACCTAGACAGCGAAATGGTAGAGGTAGGATACAAACAAGTTTTCAGAGTAGGCATGTCAAGGCTTACTGGAGCTAGAAGAGTGAAACCAACAGCGGCTAGTAATGGGGTAGGGTGACGAACTGAGACTCGACCCCTGCAACTTTGACTATAATTAAATGAGAACTATAATTAAATGTGTGTGTGCATACACACACATTTTTTTATTCATGTGAAGCGCTAAACCCGTATGGGTCATTCAGCTCATTGAGTGGCAGAGGCTCGATCCTCTTTCAGACACATTACCATTCATAATTTGCACTGGAAGCATACAAGTCAATTAACCACTCAAAAGACAATATAAGACTCACCCTATCCCGTACCAGACTAGAGTAGTCGGCTATGTGGTTGTCGTCGAGGTAGTTGTTGTGGTGATGGTCATGGTCGTGGTCGTGGGCAGCCATGGCAGCTGCTGCTGCTTCAAAGGCCTCAACAGCTGCCTGGTTCTCCATGTCCCAGCGGCGCTCCTGCTGTTGTTGTTGCTGCTGCTTCTTTGCCTTATCTTGCTGCAGGTCTGAGCGCGAGGCGTAGTTAACCAGCGCGAACTCCAGCAGGGCTCCGAACACAAAGGTAAGACACACCCCCGTCCATACGTCGATGGCCTGAGGGGAGACGAGTTTTGCTTATCAGACTTGGATACATCAATAGTGTGCGGCTGTTACGGCCCCCTGCCAAACTAGCGGTTAAATAGTTAACCTGCCTGCCGGCAGTACCACTGGGTACGTCATCAAACCCATTGTGGGGACTGCTGAGCCGGCCTTAGAGCATTATGTACCTGAGCACCTCACGGTACGCATGTAAGCATTAAGTACCTGAGCACCTCACGGTACGCATCTAAGCAGTAGGTACTTGAACATCTAATGGTACACATCTACTGGCTTTAGAGGCAGTAGGTACCTGAACACCTAATGGTACACATCTACTGGCAGTAGAGTATTCTACTGGCTTCTACTGATTTTAGAAGAACCGCTCACCGCAGCTCACTGAGTCGTTGGCCTCAGTTACTTGACGGCCGCATTCAGTGAGCTTGCAGCATGGTGTTCGGCAAGCAGGATTAACCAAACCTCCTTGCGGTGTCAACTGATCTTGAAGGCGGTAGATAGTACTCACCAGACCATCTTACGGTGTACTTCTACCGGCCTTAGAGAGTATTTACAGGACTACCGGTGATGTCTGGGGACTCACCGCCTACGCAGGTCAACTGTGAGCCGGAGTCATCTGATGCTGTTTTAGTGGGACATTACATGAAGAAAAGGTTGGAGTGTTACACTGAACTGGGCTAGGACCGTAGTGTGACACTTAGGGAAGTATGATGGAGTGGAACACTGAGATATACTACAGGACCGTAGTGGAACACTGAGAAGAAAAGGGTGTCGTGTGACACTGAAGATGGCCTGGTTGTAGTGTACACTGAATAGTGTCATGTGACTGGTCTCTGATAAGAGAGACGCTGTGGGTGATAGTGTGCGACGCAGAGACAAGGGTGTCAAGAGTGACCCAGTAGAGATATTGTGTATGACGCAGAGAAAAGGGTGTCGTGTGACACGGAGAGTATGAGTGTCGTGTGACACAGAAAAGGGTGTCTAGTGGACACGGTTGAGCAGGAGCGTAATCGGAAGAAAGGGTGTCAAGTGACACAGTTGAGAGGGAGCATCACAACACACCACAGATAAGTGTCGTGAGAGACACGGAGCGTCATTAGGGTGTCGTGAGACACGGAGTTGACTATAATTTATTATTATACAAATGTTATTTATAATTTATTATTTTACCATAGATATATTATTTTAAGATGCTAATAATTTATTATTGTAACATGTATATATATTTTAAATACCTCTAGACCAAAGATTGATGTTTATATTACATTAAAGATTAATTGATTTTAATGTTGTATTTATGTATCCCGAACTCTTTATTACAAAATGAGTAAACCCACCATCTTCAAAAATCACTTTTTTGTAATATATGAGTGGCCTGTCCGGGAGGATAGTGATCATTGAGAATGATTTCTATGATCATATCCGGGATGACGGTTCGGGATGCATATTACATTAATCTTTGTGTGTCGGTCCTTTTGTGGTGGGGGGGGGGGGGTGTTAGGCCCCCTGCCAAACTAGCGGTTAAATAGTTAACCTGCCGGCCGGCAGTACCACTGGGTACGTCATCAAACCCATTGTGGGGACTGCTGAGCCGGCCTTAGAGCATTAAGTACCTGAGCACCTCACGGTACGCATCGAAGTAGTAGGTACCTGAACACCTAATGGTACACATCTACTGGCTTTAGAAGCAGTAAGTACCTGAACAGCGGCTATCATCTTCTATATCGTAGTCACCGTGGGAACAAAAGCTGGCTATGTTTTCTAAAATATTCCATCATACAGGATGAGTTACATACGTGCAATGTTTTATATGATTACATAATGGGAACAATAGCATGTTTATATGTCATATTCCATTTCATGGGATGAGTGACAGACCTGGGATAATATATTCCACAGTTACGTAGTGAGAGAGTGAGAAAGGCAGTGAGAGGGTGGATAAGACAGTGCCAGGGTGAGAAAGGCAGTGAGAGGGTGGATAAGACAGTGCCAGGGTGAGAAAGGCAGTGAGAGGGTGGATAAGACAGTGCGAGGGTGAGAAAGGCAGTGAGAGGGTGGATAAGACAGTGCGAGGGTGAGAAAGGCAGTGAGAGGGGATTGAGAGACAATGAGAGGGGAGTGAGAGACAGTGAGAGGCTCGTCTTCTAATTAAAAGAAGACTGGCATTGCTAATGAAATATGTATTTGCCGTTTTTTTAAAATGGCATACTAATATTTTACATTTAATAACTGGAATATATCTCTTTTGAAAGGTTTTAATGGGTTAATTCATCTTATAAAAAGGAGGAGTCATTTTCTGAGTGCAAATTTGCCATTTAACTATCAAAGTTAACAAAGCTGGAACTACTGGACTATGGTATAACTGGAGAATGCATCTTCAGGTCGGCTTCAGTCTTTTAACATTGATATGTTTTTCTTCAAGGAAGCTTTGCCTTGATTTCGAGTTATGTTATTTAGATTAATATGTTTATTATGCGTCCCATACCCATGGTGTGGGTGGTAGTCAGTAACATAATTGGGCACATAATAAGTCCAGGGACTGGGTCCCAATGTTTTAATACGTAAACAAGTTACAGGAGTAATGAACTATTTACAAATTAATTATCTTCAAACAATGGTGATGAGTTGTTACTATAGACATGAATTTAGCAGCAAAAAACATTACAGTGTTATGACTTATTAATATCCTATGTTATGACTTATTTATATCCTATGTTATGACTTATTTATATCCTATGTTATGACTTATTTATATCCTATGTTATGACTTATTTATATCCTATGTTATGACTTATTTATATCCTATGTTATGACTTATTTATATCCTATGTTATGACTTATTTATATTCTATATTATGACTTATTTATATCTAATGTTTAGTAAGGTGTGGTTGAATTTAAACTGGATTAATAAGTTAGGAGTTATTTACAATAAGCAAAGTCAAGGCATTTTTGTAGAATAGCTGGTATTAGGCCCATTTTGAAGTTTACTGACGTTTGTGAATCAGTAGTCTCTGAATTCGTGATTTTTTTTCGCACTCAAGCGCGTATTGACAGACTAAGACAAAGTTTACACTTGGCTATGTCTGCATCAACAAGTGAGGTAAACTGTCAGAGGCACTTGTAGCTGTGCAACAGTGACATCCAAGAGTCTGCTGAGTATGTTGCTCCGTCATGCACATGTAGCTCCTCTTGTATGATAGTCATGATAGACATCTTCGGTGCTCATATTTAACTGCATTAGAAACTTATGCCTCACCTTGAAGTTTAGTAACCCAGGATAAACCAATAAAGACACTTTATGGATTATTTCTCTTGGGGATCTTTGATCCTCTTTCACGGGATACGACACAGAACAGTCGCGTAAGACGCAGGTACCTACTTACTGCTAGGTGGACAAGGGCAACACGGCCAAGAAAACATTTCCAACATTTTCACTAGGTGGAAAGGGGGCAACAGGAACAAGAAAACATGTTCAATATTTCCGTTTTTGATGGAACAGAACCCAGGTCCTTCAGATGAGTCGTGTCTACACTAAATATAACGGGCTCAGATACTTTCTTTAGACTAATTAATGCATCATATCTACTAATATATACACATTACTATACACTAGAAAACATTTTCCACTGCTACAGTGTGGAAATATATTAGAAATAACAAAAAGGTACAGTACCGTGACTAGAACAATACACAAATAAATATTTAAGTCTATACATATTTATATTAGAGACACACTATGTAGAAACTGTGTATCATGTCAAGACAAAACCATTCTCTTTACTAAATTTACAAATTGTTATCGTATCCTTGTGCTTAGCGCTTCTTTGATTTATAATATAAATCAAATTGTTATATTCTCAAATATTTTGAACTACCTCACAATTGTAAATCTATTTAATCACTACAGTTACCTAACTTTAATATCAGTATGCTCCGTAACCTGTGTCAATGTATAGTAAGAATTAGTATTAGTCTGCTCGAAATGCCTAGGAATGCCAGTGGCCTTCTTTGTAATTAATATTTTGTATGTAAACGACACAGTGTAATTAATATTGTATAATATGTAAACCCCACATTGTAATCTTTGCGGAGAGATAAACACTTCAATTTCAATTTCAATATGTGATGAGGAATGTATTAAGGATAACCTAACTAAGATTACCTTAAATTAATTTAGTTTTCTTTTATTTGTCGTCAAAGAAAATTGATTGATTTTATGGTAAACCTTTACGTTATAGATATTTTATAGGACTTTAATTTCAGCTCATGGATCCAGCATTTTTATCATTATGTAAGAAGATTAACACCCATGTGATGATGGGCAACATGTGTAAGGAAACTAACTCCCGGGTACCTACTTACTACTGGGTGAACATAGACAAAATGTGTAGGGAAATAAAAGAACCCCAATGGAAATAAGTCACTTTGACTTTTTTTGGGTTATCATAGGAAATTAACATTATGTATGATAATTGTGCTTATGTGTACCTGTAATTAAATAAGCTTACTTACTTACTAACACCCAGGTACCTACTTATTGCTGGGTGAACAATAATAATAATAATATCTTTATTTCTACAAGTAAATGTGATAAATGGTTTTGAAAACCGACAAGTTGAAGAATTGAGACACTTATGCAACATATGGGAATCTTCATTGAAGAAACGTTTCGCCACACAGTGGCTTCATCAGTCCAATACAAAGTGGAAATGGGTAAGGAGAGGAGGAGTTTGAGGTAATCAGTCCCTCAACCTGGAATCGATGTATTCAGTCCATCACTCTTGTAGGAAGTACAACCTAAGGCCAGAGAGGTGGCTTATATACTGCAGTCAGGTGAGTCGAAGCAGGAGGAGGCGGGATCACAGTGGGACTTGCCACTAGTATAAGTAGGTCGTCGTCCAAAGGTTGGACAAGCGTTGAAGTCTTTGTACCAAGAGTTATGGACTGAACACATCAATTCCAGGCTGAGGGACTGATTACTTCAAACTCCTCTCCTTACTCATTGCTACTTTGTATTGGACTGATGAAGCCACTGTGTGGCGAAACATTTCTTCAATGAAGATTCCCATATGTTGCACAAGTGTCTCAATTCTTCAACAAGTAAATGCACAAGATATACAGGCCTAGCTGACATCAGTGATATACTACTCTATAGAAAGCCGCTTTTTATGCTGAGCATTTCGGGCAAATTAGGTCAGTTTTGTCCCAGGATGCGACCCACACCAGTCGACTAACACCCAGGTACCTATTATGCTGATGGGTGAACATAGACAACCAGTGTATAAAACACGTCCAATGTTTCTACCCTAATTGTGTGAAGCGAGAACTTTAGCCACCAGGCCACGGAGCCAAGCATGTGTAAGGAAAGTAACACCAAGACACCTACTTACTTAACAAGGACAACAGGTATAACTGAGGTCCGGGTGAAGGACAACAGATGCACTGAGAATTAGTACCCGGGTACCTATTATACGATCTCTCTTTCTCTCTCTCAACACCCACCTTGGTATAGGAGACAGGAGGTAAAGACTGGTTAATGCCAGCGTTCTGTGTAGACATGGTGAGGAGTGTAGTGACCCCCAGTGCCACTCTGGCTGGCACTGCGTACTGGTCGAGCCAGAAGGACACCCAGGACACGATGACCAGCATGCAGCAGGGAATGTAGTACTGGATGAGGTAGTAAGAGAACTCTCGCTTGAAGATCAGGTTTACCTTCAGACAGCTGTACTCTCCTGTGTTAGCCACATCAACACGGTGATGTTAACAACAACAACAACAACAACAGCAACAACAACAACAACAACAATAATAATAATAATAATAAAAATAGTAATAATAATAATAATAATAATAATAATAATAATAATAATAGTTACTTTCCACAAGGTCTGTAGTTTTTTACAAAATATTAATAACATTTATTAGTACTTACGTCAAGTCTGTGAATATGCATAGTTATGGGATATATGTATATACTGAGAGGCATTTCTCTCAGCGCATATGTACGCTGAGAGAAATGTCTCTCAGTGTCGTGTAGTCACCCATACACCCCGTGTTGTGTGGTCACCCCAACTCCCTGTGTTGTGTTGTCACCCCACACCCAGTGCTGTGTGGTCTCCCCACACCCTGTGTTGTGTGGTCTCCCCACACCCTGTGTTGTGTGGTCTCCCCACACCCTGTGTTGTGTTGTCACCCCACACCCAGTGCTGTGTGGTCTCCCTACACCCTGTGTTGTGTGGTCACCCCACACCCAGTGCTGTGTGGTCTCCCCACACCCTGTGTTGTGTGGTCACCCCACACCCAGTGCTGTGTGGTCTCCCTACACCCTGTGTTGTGTGGTCACCCCACACCCAGTGCTGTGTGGTCTCCCCACACCCTGTGTTGTGTGGTCACCCCACACCCAGTGCTGTGTGGTCTCCCTACACCCCGTGCTGTGTGGTCACCCCACACCCTGTGTTATGTGGTCACCCCACACCCCGTGTTACCTATCATCCTACACCTCATGTGCTTATCACACCCCGTGTGGTCAAGGCACACCTCGTGTTGTGCAGTTACCCCACACCCCTGGTTATCCCCCTACACACGTACCTGTGTTGGTCTTGCTGTTACAGTACTCAGTAACGAAGTGCTCGAGGGTGAAGCGGGGCAGGTGAAGGTTCTTCGTCACCTGGATAGGCTCGTTCTTCTCCCACAGAAACACCAGGTCCTCTGTGGTCCACCCGTCTGTCTCCACCACAGTCACAGAGACAATTATTATTATTTTCATTGCACACACACACACACACACACACACACACACACACACACACACACACACACACACACACACACACACACACACACACACACACACACAATAGTTTGGGAAGCGATGTAGTGGAGGCAGGATCCATACATAGCTTTAAGCAGAGGTATGATAAAGCTCACGGTTCAGGGAGAGTGACCTAGAAGCGACCAGTGAAGAGGCGGGGCCAGGAGCTCGGACTCGACCCCTACAACCTCAACTAGGTGAGTACAACTAGGTGAGTACACACACACATACACACACACGCATGTCTAATCGACATGTGCCTAGGACAGAATGGTAACTAACTAACTAACACACACACACACAGTTAAGGGGTATGTCCTACGAGGAGAGGTTAAGGAAAATCGACCTGACGACACAGGACAGGAAGGTTAGGGGAGACATGACAACGACATATAAAATATTGAGAGGAATCGACAAGGTGGACAGAGACAGGATGTTCCAGAGATGGGACACAGATACAAGGGATCATAGTTGGAAGTTAAAGACTCAGATGAGTCAGAGGGATGTTAGGAAGTATTTCTTTAGCCATAGAGTTGTCAGGAAGTGGAATAGCCTGGAAAATGAGGTAATAGAGGCAGTAACCATACATAGCTTTAAGAAGAGGTATGATAAAGCTCATAGAGTGGACTTAGTGGCGACCAGTGAAGAGGCGGGTCCAGTTTTACCTGTTGATATATATATATATATATATATATATATATATAATATATATATATATATATATATATATATATATATATAATATATATAATACTATAATATACAGATAGAAAAGTGTGTATAGGCAGAAAGATGGATAAGGGAAGGTTAATATTCGTCGAGTTAAGAGAAGGTACTCACATGAAGCCATAAGCAGCTCACACAACTGGGTGTCCAGAGGATACAACTTCAGATCCATTGGACACGATAACGTTAACGATATCCTGTAAGTAGGGAAACGTGAGGGAGGAGGAAAAGGAATGAGAGGAGGGAAAGGAGTGGGAAGAGGGAAGGGATAGGGAGGAGGGAAGGGAGAGGAATGAGGTGGATTGGGAAGGGGGAGAAAATAAAGGAGAGATATTATTGTCAGTTAATAATTTATATTCGAGTTATTAATTAGGGGTATTATTATTATTATTATTAGTAGTAGTAGTAGTAGTAGTTGTAGTAGTAGCAGTAGCAGCAGTAGTAGCAGTAGTAGTACATAAGAAAGAAGGAACGCTGCAGCAGGCCTACTGACCCATGCGAAGCAGGTCCGTGTCACCACCAGGCTTAGACCAATGACCCACGTAGTCAGGCCACTTCCACTTACTGAAGGAACACGGTATCAGACCTAGTAGCACAATCTAGTCAGGTCCAACTCACACCCACCCACACCCACTCAAGCATTTATCTAACCTATTTTTAAAACTACACAACGTTTTAGCCTGAAAACTGTACTCGGGAGTTTGTTCCACTCATCCACAACTATTACCAAACCAGTGCTTTCCTATATCCTTCCTGAATCTGAATTTTTCCAACTTGAAACGATTGCTTCGAGTCCTGTCTTGGCTGGAAATTTTCAGCACGCTATTTACATCCCCTTTATTTATTCCTGTTTTCCATTTATACACCTCGATCACATCCCCCCTAATTCTACGCCTTTCTAGACAGTGCAGATTCAGGGCCCTCAGTCTATCCTCATAGGGAAGATTTTTGATACATGGGATCATCTTTGTCATCCTCCTCTGTACGTTTTCCAGTGCGTTTATATCCATTTGTAGTATTAGCAGCGGAAGTAGTAATAGTGCTACATAAGAACATAAGAAAGGAGGAGCACTGCAGCAGGCCTGTTAGCCCATACTAGGCAGGTCCTTACAATCCATCCCACTAACAGAATATTTGCCCAACTCATTTTTCAATTCTACCCAAAGAACAAGCTGTGATAATCATACCACGGGCGGGATTTGAACCCGCGGTCAGAGAGTCTCAAAACTTCAGACCGTCGCGTTAGCCACTGGACCAGCTAGCCACAATAAGATTCATCCAACTAGGTATATTCCTACACCATAGGAAGGTTAGCATAGGCAGCACTGTGACTACAAATGCAAGTTCAAATCCCGGGTTCAAATCCCGCCCGTGGTATGGTTTGTTTGCAATCGTGTCATTACGATTTCGTGAGTCATGTTAACGGCTTTGAGGGGACTTGAGCTAGAGTTCGTCACGGCCACGCTAGCTGGAGATTCGTCTGTAAAAACTTGCATTTGTGGCCACAGTGGTGTCTATGCTAACCTTCTTATGGTGTAGAAATATACCTAGTAAGACGAATCTTATTGTGGCTAGCTGGTCCAGTGGCTAACGCGACGGTCTGGAGTTTTGAGACTCTCTGACCGCGGGTTCAAATCCCGCCCGTGGTATGGTTTGTTTGCAATCGTGTCATTACGATTTCGTGAGTCAACCTGTGATAATTCTATTAACTCATGTACAAGTCCCACTCAAATCCAACGCCTCTCACTCATGTATTTATCCAACCTAAATTTGAAACTACCCAAGGTTTTAGCCTCAATAACCCTACTAGGCAGACTGTTCCACTCATCAACTACCCTATTTCCAACAGAATACTTTCCTATATCCTTTCTAAATCTAAACTTGTGTAATTTAAATCCATTATTTTGGGTTTTCTCTTGGAGAGATATCCTCAAGACCTTAATAATATCCCCTTTATTAATACCCATCTTCCACTTGTACACTTCGATCATGTCTCCTCTCATTCTTAGTCTTACAAGTGAATGTAATTTAAGGGGATTCAATCTCTCTTCATACGGAAGATTTCTAATGCAATGAATTAATTTTGTCATTCGTCGCTGAATGTTTTCTAACGAATTTATATCCATTTTGTAAAATGGAGACCAGAACTGAGCTGCATAATCTAGGTGAGGCCTTACTAATGACGTATAAAGCTGAAGCATAACCGCTAGTAGTAATAGTAGTATTAGTAGTAGTAGTAGCAGTAGTAGTAGTTGTAGTAGTAGTAGCAATAGTAGTAGTAGTGGTAGTAGTAGTAGTAGTAGCAATAGTAGTAGTAGTAGTAGCAGCAATAGCAGCAATGACATCAATTGTATTTTTGTACCCAATAAATACTTCCAATACCCTCCAAAAATCCCTCACTTTCCTCCATAATTCCTCCCACAATACTCTATATACCTCCCATCATCCTCCGTGAATCCCCCCAATACGCTTCGTAAATCTCCTATTATTTTAAGTAAATTCTTTCGTTGGGATTTCAAGTATATCACATTTTAGGTGTTTTATGATATAATGAGGGATATATAGAAAATATATATTGTTTCTGTATTTTAGGCAGTATAGTCGGGAGTATAACAAGTGTATAACCACTGTATGCTGCTCCTAGAGGTGAGTAGTATGCTCTCTCCCTCCCTCCCTCCCTCCCTCTCTCTCTCTCTCTCTCTCCCCTCTCTCTTTTCTCTTCTCTCTCTCTCTCTCCTCTCTCTCTCTCTCTCTCCTACTCTCTCTCTCTCTCTCCTTCTCCTCTCTCTCTGATTGAAAGATTACGAAAGTTTCTTTCTCTTGGTCAGTCTCTTCCATTTCTGCTTCGTTTTCTGCTCCTTAATTATATGTAGTGGGCAGCTTCACCTTGATTATCATGTGGGGTGGGCAGCTTCACCTTGATTATCATGTGGGGTGGGCAGCTTCACCTTAATTATCATGTGGGGTGGGCAGCTTCACCTTGATTATCATGTGGGGTGGGCAGCTTTACCTTGATTATCATGTGGGGTGGGCAGCTTTACCTTGATTATCATGTGAGGTGGGCAGCTTTACCTTGATTATCATGTGGGGTGGGCAGCTTTACCTTGATTATCATGTGGGGTGGGCAGCTTTACCTTGATTATCATGTGGGGTGGGCAGCTTTACCTTGATTATCATGTGGGGTGGGCAGCTTCACCTTGATTATCATGTGGGGGGGGCAGCTTTACCTTGATTATCATGTAAGGTGGGAAGCTTCACCTTGATTATCATGTGGGGTGGGCAGCTTTACCTTGATTATCATGTAAGGTGGGCAGCTTCACCTTGATTATCATGTGGGGTGGGCAGCTTTACCTTGATTATCATGTGGGGTGGGCAGCTTTAACTTGATTATCATGTGGGGTGGGCAGCTTTACCTTGATTATCATGTGAGGTGGGCAGCTTCACCTTGATTATCATGTGGGGTGGGCAGCTTTACCTTAATTATCATGTTGGGTGGGCAGCATTACCTTGATTATCATGTGGGGTGGGCAGCTTCACCTTCATTATCATGTGGGGTGGGCAGCTTTACCTTGATTATCATGTGAGATGGGCAGCTTCACCTTGATTATGTGGGGTGGGCAGCTTCACCTTCATTATCATGTGGGGTGGGCAGCTTTACCTTGATTATCATGTGGGGTGGGCAGCTTTACTTTGATTATCATGTGAGATGGGCAGCTTCACCTTGATTATGTGGGGTGGGCAGCTTCACCTTGATTATCATGTGGGGTGGGCAGCTTCACCTTGATTATCATGTGGGGTGGGCAGCTTTACCTTAATTATCATGTGGAATGGGCAGATTTACCTTGATTATCATGTGAGGTGGGCAGCTTCACCTTGATTATCATGTGGGGTGGGCAGCTTTACCTTAATTATCATGTGGGGTGGGCAGTTTTACCTTGATTATCATGTGAGGTGGGCAGCTTCACCTTGATTATCATGTGGGGTGGGCAGCTTTACCTTGATTATCATGTGGGGTGGGCAGCTTTACCTTGATTATCATGTGGGGTGGGCAGTTTCACATTGATTATCATGTGGGGTGGGCAGCTTCACCTTGATTATCATGTGGGGTGGGCAGCTTCACATTGATTATCATGTGGGGTTGGCAGCTTCACCTTGATTATCATGTGGGGTGGGCAGTTTCACATTGATTATCATGTGGGGTTGGCAGCTACAGCTTGATTATCATGTGGGGTGGGCAGCTTCACATTGATTATCATGTGGGGTTGGCAGCTACACCTTGATTATCATGTGGGGTTGGCAGCTTCACCTTGATTATCATGTGGGGTGGGCAGCTTTACCTTGATTATCATGTGGGGTTGGCAGCTACACCTTGATTATCATGTGGGGTGGGCAGTTTCACATTGATTATCATGTGGGGTTGGCAGCTACACCTTGATTATCATGTGGGGTGGGCAGCTTCACATTGATTATCATGTGGGGTTGGCAGCTACACCTTGATTATCATGTGGGGTTGGCAGCTTCACCTTGATTATCATGTGGGGTGGGCAGCTTTACCTTGATTATCATGTGGGGTGGGCAGCTTTACCTTGATTATCATGTGGGGTGGGCAGCTTTACCTTGATTATCATGTGGGGTGGGCAGCTTCACCTTGATTATCATGTGGGGTGGGCAGCTTTACCTTGATAATCATGAGGTGGGCAGTTTCACCTTGATTATCATGTGGGGTGGGCAGCTTCACCTTGATTATCATGTGGGGTTGGCAGCTTCACCTTGATTATCATGTGGGGTGGGCAGCTTCACCTTGATTATCATGTGGGGTTGGCAGCTTCACCTTGATTATCATGTGGGGTGGGCAGCTTCACCTTGATTATCATGTGGGGTTGGCAGCTTCATCTTGATTATCATGTGGGGTGGGCAGCTTCACCTTGATTATCATGTGGGGTGGGCAGCTTCACCTTGATTATCATGTGGGGTGGGCAGCTTCACCTTATTATCATGTGGTGGCAGCTCACCTTGATTATCATGTGGGGTGGGCAGCTTCACCTTGATTATAATGTGGGGTGGGCAGCTTCACCTTAATTATCATGTGGGGTGGGCAGCTTCACCTTAATTATCATGTGGGGTGGGCAGCTTCACCTTAATTATCATGTGGGGTGGGCAGCTTCACCTTGATTATAATGTGGGGTGGGCAGCTTCA